GAGCCCTGGTCTGGCTCGAAGCTTAACATGGGAGTCCTATGAGGTGCTTCATGTAATCATTTCAATACATTACAAGTGTAATTCCTGGAGAACTCCAAGACCAACAGGGAGGACGGCAACCCAAAGGCTAGAACTCTAGGCTGGAAGAAAACGACATATGCAAGCAATTGCGTTTCTGTTGTCGTGTTCTTTGGTATGGTTTAATTCATTCCACGGGAGTTTTGAAGAAGGAGGAGGAGGAGGAGGAGGAGGAGGAGGAGGAGAGTTGGATTTATACCCCAGTCTTCACTCTGAGTCTCAGAGTGGCTTACACTCACCTTCCTTTCCCCTCCCCACAACAGACAACCCTGTGAGGTAGGTGGGGCTGAGAGTGCTCTGAGAGGACTGCTCTTGAGAGAACAGCTCTGAGAGAACTGGGACTGACCCAAGGTCACCCAACTGGTTGCATGTGGAGAAGTGCGGAATCAAGCCCAGTTCTCCAGATTAGAGTCCGCCTAAGAGGAAGAAGAAGAAGAGTTGGATTTATACCCCCTCCTTCACTCGGAGTCTCAGAGCGGCTTACAATCTCCTTTCCCTTCCCCTCCCCACAACAGACACTCTGTGAGGTAGGTGGGCCTTAGGGAGCTCTGAGAGATCTGCTCTTGAGGGAACAGCTCTGAGAGAACTGTGACTGGCCCAAGGTCACCCAGCTGGCTGCATGTGAAGGAGTGGGGAATCAAACATGGCTCTCCAGATTAGAGTCCGCTGCTCTTAACCACTACTCCAACTCCACCCCCAGTAATTGAAAGATGTATAAAAGAGGCATAACAGAAGGATATCTCAATTGCATTCCTGCTCTCAGATCTACCAGTTTTTGCAGTGCTTCAGGCAAAGACAGCAGTACTGACTGAAGTACTTAAATGTATGTTTACATCACAGGAAAAGATCATTTCATCCTGCCACCTTTAACTTCTTTAAAAACTTTCACCTGTTTTCCAGCTTTAAATGGATAGATCCAAGGTTAAGTCTTTAAGGACTCTTCTCATGTCTGCACATTTCTTAAAAAGCAATTATACCGTTGGATTCAAAGGCACTCTTCCACAACAAATGGAATCTTCCACTTAGAGGAAGAATATCTTAGGCCTGACTGAGGTTGAACGGTACAAAGAAATTGTACTGATCAACTTGTCAACTGTATGCCAAGTATTTTTAAAGTATTAGTTTAATTGGAACAAGAGAAGAGAACATAGGAATTTAAGAAAGTAAGAGAAGCCATGTTGGATCAGGCCAATGGCCCTTCCAGTCCAACACTCTGTGTCACACAGTGGCCAAAACTCAGGTGCCATCAGGAGGTCCAGCAGTGGGGCCAGAACTCCACAAGCCCTCCCACTCTTGTCCCCCAAGCACCAAGAATACAGAGCGTCACTGCCCCCAGACAGAATGTTCCATATGTGCCTTGTGGCTAATAGCCACTGATGGACCTCTGCTCCATACGTTTATCCAATCCCCTCTTGAAGCCGTCCATGCTTGTAGCTGTCACCACCTCCTGTGGCAGTGAATTCCATGTATTAATTAATCTTTGGATGAAGAAATACTTTCTTTGGTCTGTTCTAAGCCTACTGCTCCTTAATTTCATTGAGTCATCGAATCCCTAACAGATTAAATGGATACACCGATCACCGGGGCTCTTTTTGTAGAAAAAGCCCAGCAGGAACTCATTAGCATAATAGGCCACACCCAACAGCAGGAACTCATTAGCATATTGGGCCACACCCCTGACAGCACAGCTCATTAGCACATTAGGCCGCACCCCCACGTCACCAGAAGTGTGGTTATCCAGCCACACCCACCTTTTTGCTTGTTATTCTGTTTACCTTGTTTGTTGACAAAACCCAGGGCCTTTTTTTGTTGCAGGAACTCCTTTGCATGTTAGGCCACACACCCCTAATGTAGCCAATCCTAATGAGTTTCTGCTGTTGGGTGTGGCCTATTATGCTAATGATTTCCTGCTGGGCGTGGCCAACTTGGGAGCCAGCCGGAACTCTGTTCCTGTGCGTTCCTGCCCCAAAATAGCCCTGCCGATCACCAAAACAAATTAACAGCAATGGTGAAAAGACGAAATCAACCTTGTTTAAACATTGGAGTGAATATTGCACATTTTAATAATGCTTGGTGAGTTTTTTTAATAAATAAATAAATAAATGTGAATGATTCATTGAAAGTTCTTTTTGTTGGCTTTTAACCGGATACAGTGGGGTCAGCCCACAGTTTACAAAACCGACTTACAAGAGAAGCAAAGCAGTAACAGCAGTTATGCCAATAAAGGTCGATCGATGGATTGATGGATGGATTGAACAGTAACAGCAACTATTAAAAGAGTAACGGGAATTCTAAAAGCCATTTGTGCCACATAAGAAGCAAGCTAGTCGTTCTTGTGCCTGTAGTTATAGCAGGTGGCCAGGAGGTAGGGGTTGCCGCTCCAGGTTGGGAAATTCCTGGAGATTCTGGGAACGGTCTTGGGGAGGGATCTCAATGGGGTATCGTGCCATAGAGTTTACCCTCCAAAGCAACCATTTCCACCAGTGGACTGATCACTGTAGTCTGCCAGGGCTCTTTTTGTAGAAAAAGCCCAGCCGGAGCTTATTAGCATTATAGGCCACACCCAACAGCAGGAGCTCATTAGCACATTAGGCCGCACCCCCGTGTTACCAGAAGTGTGGTTATCCAGCCACACCCACCTTTTGCTTGTTATTCTGTTGACCTTGTTTGTTGTCAAAACCCAGGGCCTTTTTTTGTAGCAGGAACTCCTTTGCATGTTAGGCCACACACGCCTACTGTAGCCAATCCTAATGAGTTTCTGCTGTTGGGTGAGGCCTATTGTGCTAATGAGTTCCTGCTGGGCATGGCCAACTCGGGAGCCAGCTGGAACTCCGTTCCTGTGCGTTCCTGCCCAAAAATAGCCCTGAGTCTGGCAATCAGTTGCAATCAGGCCCATAGCCACGCTGGAGCATCTGAGGGCAGCTCCCCACCACCGATGAGCCCCGCCCCACCCTAGAAGGATGTCAGACCCCCCCCAGGTCCCCCGCCCTCGGTGCACCTCATTCCGTAGTGGTGGGAAGACGGGGGAAGGAAAGGGAAGCCGCCCTGCCATTTCTGGTCAGTTTCACTCCCCACAGACCAGCTGTTAGGTTTAACAGCTGATGGGGGGGGGAGTGAAACTGACCAGAAGTGGCAGGGCAGCTTCCCTTTCCTGATCTGTGGATGTGGGCGGGGCTGGGGCTCTCTCTGGCTCCCCTTCGCTCCCCCTTCCCCACTAATCCAATTAAATCCCCTGCTCCCGCTCCCCTGCCCCAGCGCCCCAGTCCCTGCCCCACCAACCAAAAAGTTCTAGCTATGGGGCTGGTTGCAATTCCTGGAGATCTCCAAGACCCACCTGGAGAATGGCAATTCTCTGCCACCGGAGGTGGTGGCAGCAACAAGCATGGACGGCTTCAAGAGGGAATTGGATAAGCGTATGGAGCAGAGGTCCACGAGTGGCTATTAGCCACAAGGTATAGATAGGGCTGCGGTGGCTCAAGTGGTTAAGACGCTGAACTGCAGGCTGTGGAAGGTCGGTAGTTCAGCAGTTCGAGACCCGGGTGCCGCATGATGGAGTGAGCTCCCATCTCTAGTTCCAGCTCCTGCCAACCTAGCAGTTCGAAAGCAAGAAATTGCAAGTAGATAAATAGGTACCACTTCGGTGGGAAGGTAACAGCGTTCCATGCGCCTTGGTGTTTAGTCATGCCGACCACATGACCACGGAAACATATTCGGACAGTGCTGGCTCTTCGGCTTTGAAACGCACTGCAACCCTAGAGTCGGATTCGGCTGGCTTTCGAGCAAGGGAACCTTTATCTTTACCTTTATAGTTAGGAACTCTCCGTCTGGGGCATGTGATGCTCTGTATTCTTTGTGCTTGGGGGGGGGCAGCAGTGGGAGGGCTTCTAGTGTCCTGGCCCCACTGGTGGACCTCATGATGGCACCTGGTATTCTTGATCCCTGTGTGACACAGAGTGTTGGACTGGATGGGCCATTGGCCTGCTCCAACATTGGCTTCTCTTACGTTCTTATGTTTAGAGCAGAGGTCCATCAGTGGCTATTAGCCACAAGATATGGATAGGAACTCTCGGTCTGGGGCATGTGATGCTCTGTATTCTTGGTGCTTGGGGGGGGGGCAGCAGTGGGAGGGCTTCTAGTGTCCTGGCCAGTGTTCCCTCTAAGCTGAGTGAGTGTGAGCTAGCTCACAGTTTTTTAGCCTCCAGCTCATACAGTTTTGTCTTAGCTCAGGAAGGAGGGGCTCCAGAGCAACCTAATTGATGCAGTAGCCAAATCACTCGCTCACAACTTTAATGCCAGGAGCTCACAAAATAGATTTTTTGCTCACAAGACTGCATAGCTTAGAGGGAGCATTGGTCCTGGCCCCACTGGTGGACCGCCTGATGGCACCTGGTATTTTTGGCTAATGTGTGACGGAGGGTTGGACTAGATGGGCCGTTGGCCCGATCCAACATTGGCTTCTCTTATGTTCTGATGTTCTTATATTCTAACTATACCACTAGGAGACTTTTTGCCGCTGCTCACTGTTATAGGGTAAAGTCCTGCCCCTACCAACCAGTGATGTGATAATGAAATAGAATGGCAAGTTGGCTTTATGGGATATTTGTCATTCCTTGACTGCACTCAGCTGATCAGTCAATTGACAAGCTTCGTTCCAATTTCACAAGAGTTTGCGCGAGGCAGCTGCAGAACCGGAAGCCCGAGAAGCACAACTTACTGGGGCTGCGCGTGACTTCTTGGGTCAACTCTTGCTCGAGTATTTGCAGAACAACCCCAATGGCCAGTTCCTTTCTCCTGGAAATCCTCTGGATCCACTTCAATATTGATAGATGCTAAGAACTGATTGGCAGTGTACTAAGTGTGTACTAACAAGAGTGTTTTGTCCAAGGGAAATACATAATCTCTTTACTTTTCTCTCTCTAGAGATGTCTCTTCTCGTGACAGTTTTGGCTCTTGCCGTTGGACTCCATCAGTGTGTTGGAAATGAGGTATGAGCTTTGTGTATGAAAGAGGTGTTATGCAGCCCTGACCTTCAAGGGATCAGGATATTTCTCCTGTTCCTTCACTGCAGCGTTCTGATGATTTAAAGGACAATATAAAGAAGTAAAAATACGTCCACGTGTGTCACTGACCGTCTCTGCTGGAAGAAACATATCATGTTCTTGTTACCCTACCTTTACCTGGATTACCCAGGATAGCCGAATCCCATCAGATCTCGGAAGCTAAGCAAGGTTAGCCCGGGTTAGTACTAGAATGGGAGACCACCAAGGAAGTCCAGGGTTGCTACGCAGAGGCAGGCAATGAAAAACCACCTTCTATTCATCTCTGTCCTACCTTGGATGGCTTAGGTTAGCTGGATCTCATCAGCTCAGAAGCTAAGCAGGGTCAGTCCTGCTTAGTACTAGAATGGGAGACCACCAAGGAAGTCCAGGGTTGCTACGCAGAGGCAGGCAATGAAAAACCACCTTCTATTCATCTCTGTCCTACCTTGGATGGCTCAGGTTAGCCGGATCTCATCAGAACTTGGAAGCTAAGCATGGTCGGTCCTGGTTAGTACTTGGATGGGAGACCACCAAGGAATCCAAGAGTTGTTATGCGGAGGCATAATGGCAGACTACCTCTGAACATTTCTCTTGTCTTGAACACCCTACAGGGGTTACCATAAGTTGGCTGCGACTTGCCAGCACTCAGCTCCACCATTTATGACAAAACAATGTCAGGTTGGTGTAGTAGTTAGGAGCGTGGACTCTAATCTGGGAGAACCGGGTTTGATTCTCCACTCCTCCACATGCAGCTGCTGGTGTGACCTTGGGACAGTCACAAGCTCTCTCAGAGCTGTTATCTCAAACACAGTTCTCTCAGAGCTCTCTCAGCCCCGCCTACCTCACAGGGTGTCTGTTGTGGGGAAGGGAAGGAGATTGTGAGCCACTCTGAGACTCCTTCGGGTAGTGAAGGGCAGGGTATAAATCCGATCTCTTCTTACTTCTTTCTCCAGAAAGATGTAATCACACAAATGGCCGCAATGCACTGCTCTGTCACCTGATATTTCCCCAATATTAAAACATCCTTCAGTCTAACAGCTTCTGGAAAGGGAGGGGAGAGGGGAGTTATTTATCACTAGGGATGGGCACAAACTGCATTTGTGTGGTTTGGTTCCTGGTTTGTGGTTGAAGCACGAACCGAACCACAAACCTACACAAACTGATATGCTGGTTCACAAACGGGGTTCCAAGTGGTGGGGAGCAAAACTGGAGGGTTAAATGACTCTCCTCCATTGAAGCAATAGGTAGCCTATCAGGAGGGTTCAAATGGCTGGGAGTCATTTAAAACTACTCAGCCGTTAGGTTTAAATGGATCCCAGCCATTTGAACCCTGTGGTTTTGCTTCCCGCTGCTTCGAAGCGGCAAGGGGCAAAAACAGAGGGTTAAATATGGGGTGAATCACCTCCCAGGGGGCATTTCACCCCTTCCTTTCTGCTGGCTGCAGAAAGCCTGCCAGGGGGCACTATGCCTCTCCTGTCTGGTGGCCGCAGCTTTCTCTGGCTAGGAGGGGGTGAAGTGCCCCATGAGAGGCATTTTGCTCCCAGATTTCTGCTGGCTCGGAGCCTTGTGACTGGACTGCAGTGGACTACCAGCCAGTCTATGATATAAAAACTGAAGTCACCGTTTCAGTGCAACATCACTTTCTAAACATATGGAGCAGTGGCTCTTAGTCGCGAGGTATTGATGGAACACTCTGTCTGGGGCAGTGATGCTCTGTGTTCTTGGTGCTTGGGGGGGGCAACAGTGGGAGGGCTTCTGGAGTTCTGGCCCTGCCGGTGGACCTTCTGATGGCACCTGGGTTTTGGCCACTGTGTGACACAGAGTGTTGGACTTGAGGGGCCATTGGCCTGATCCAACATGGCTTCTCTTATGTTCTTATAGATAGGAACTCTCGGTCTGGGGAAAGGGATGCTCTGTCTTCTTGGTGCCTGGGAGGGGCAACAGTGGGAGGGCTTCTAGTATCCTGGCCCCACTGGTGGACCTCCTGATGGCACCTGGTATTTTTGGCCACTGTGTGACAAGAGTGTTGGACTGGATGGGCCATTGGCCTGATCCAGCATTGGCTTCTCTTAGGTTCTTATGTTCACTGTGCCCCAAAGGGCAAGCCAGAGTGTGTGCCATCTTCCCTAAAGGGCTAGCTTTAGATTTAGGCTCTAACACGGCATAGGAATCTTTCATTTTTATAAGAGGATCTATTGTTTAGCTGTGCCCTTCTTCCCTTCACATTTGTCTTTCTAGATACTCTTCAACTGGACGGTATAGATCCAAGTAAAATCCTTAGAGTTCAAGGGTTTTGTTTGGGTTGAAATAACTTGAGGTGGATTAAAGCGAATGCAATGTTTGGAACCTATATATTGGGTTGGAACCTGTGGTTTGTTCCACGCTGATCTGAGTTTTACACCAATTTCCCCTCCATGACAGACCCCCTACAGACTTTCTTTGCAGTTTTTGAGGGTCTCTTACTCCCCAGGAGCAACATTTGTTTGAATGCAGGAAAATGCAGTGGGGATGGAGAAGTGGGGATGTTGCACTCGGGGTATGTAAGAAGAACTTCTTCTTCTTCTTCTTCTTCTTCTTCTTCTTCTTCTTCTTCTTCTTCTTCTTCTTCTCCTTCTTCTCCTTCTCCTTCTTCTCCTTCTTCTCCTTCTTCTCCTTCTTCTCCTTCTTCTTTCTTCTTTCTTCTTTCTTCTTCTTCTTCTTCTTCTTCTCCTTCTTCTTCTCCTCCTCCTCCTCCTCCTCCTCCTCCTCCTCCTTCTCCTCCTTCTTCCTTCTTCTTTCTCCTCCTCCTCCTCCTCCTAACACATGGGAGATAAAAATCGTGCATGTTGCTTTCTTGACAGAAACATGATGCAGCTTTTAATTTGCTGTCAACTGATTTGCCAGAGAGGCAGAAGGAAATTGTTGACAAGCACAATGACCTACGCAGAAAAGTGGAGCCAAAGGCTTCCAACATGCTGAAGATGGTAAGAACCCATGCAAGGTTCGAGTTTCAAGGGCTTCAGGCCTCAGCCTACTCCCTGGCTTTGATTTGAAAAGCAGAAACCTTGAGGGCCCTCCCAGTTCCAAAGAACATCCCATTCCTAGGAGAGTAGCCATGTTGGTTTGCAGTAGAAGAGCTAGATTCAAGTTCAGTAGCACCTTAGAGACCAACAAGTTTTGGAGGGTATAAGTTTTCGAGAGTCAACACTCGAAGTGTCTGATGAAGGGAGCGTTGACCCTTGAAAGCTTATAAACCCCCCCCCCCCAAATCCTGTTAGTTAAGGTGCTCCTGGCAGAGCTCATTTCGTAGAAAAAGAGGTGCAGGAGCTCATTAGCATAACTCATTAGCACAACTTATTTGCATATGCCACACCCCCTGACATCACCGGAAGTGTGTCAGAAGGCAACACCCACTGCTCAGGCTCCACTGGACTGTTTTGGATTGCTAGTTATTGGGGGGGGGGAATGTGCAGATCTGTCCTCGCAGAGGAGGGAGAGCTTGTACCTGAATAAAACTTGGTCTTAAAGGTGCCACTGGACTGTTTTGGACCGGGGGGGAGCTCTGCAGCTTACCTGGCTGCTTCTTGCTCTGACTGAGAGCTTCTGGGAGTAGGGGTTGGGTGGGGCTTGTTGCATGTGCCCGCCCCCTGGGCTCTTTACTGCCGGATCTCCGCTCCTGTGCGCTCCTGCAGGAAATGACCCCTGGCTCCTGGACTCGAATCTAGGGCAATCAACTTCTCCAGCTTAAGTGACTCTTCCTCCAACGTATGTGGCTCTCTCTCCAACGGAAGTGCCTCTTTCTCCAAGGGGACAGTCACCAAAATTGGAGGAAGGCTCCATAGACTTCAAACAGGAGCCAAAAGGAAAGTTGGTGTATAAATATTTTAATAACTGAACAAATGAATGAATAAACTTTGTTCAGTGGAGTGGTAGGAGAGGAGACAGATCCACCCCAATATACTCTTCTTCATCAATGCTTAAAACCAGTCATGATACTGAGCCCAGCTATGCAGGGAAGGGCAGGCTATAGATCAAACAGAATAAACAACAAATTAATAAATAAAGGAAAGAGCTTCATATATTTCCCCCCCCCCCTTGGTCCTTTGAAGGAATGGAACGGGACGGCTGCAAAGAATGCCAAAAGCTGGGCTGACGAGTGCGATTATAACCACAGTCCTCCAAGCAGAAGAACGATTGAAAGTAGGTTCACCACCATCTTTTAGGGAAAAGGACATTTTACATAACTCAGGGCTTTCCGACAACTGGGCAGAATTCCCCGGTTACAGAAAAAGGCATGCGTGTCAAATGGATTTTGTACGTGGCTCTGAGAGCTACCACAGCCCGCCTCCCTAGATGGACATTTCCCATGCTTGCTCCTCCACTGCAGTGGGTGGGGGATCCCCACTGCAAGTGCGCACTTGCCTGCCACTGCTCAGCTGGCTGGGGGTAGGGAAACCATGGAAGGTGGGGCGTTGGCATCGTTTGGTGTAGTGGTTAAGAGAGCCAGTTCGGTGTAGTGGTTCGGAGTGCGGACTCTAATCTGGGAGAACCGGGTTTGAGTCCCCCCTCCTCAGCTGCTGGTGTGGCCTTGGGTCAGTCATACATTCTTTTAGAGCTGTTCTCTCAAGGGCAGTTCTTGAGAGAGCTCTCTCGGCCCCACCTACCTCACAGGGTGTCTGTTGTGGGGAGGGGAAGGGAAAGGAGACTGCAAACTGCTCTGAGACACCTCTGGGTAGAGAAGGGCGGGGTATAGATCCAATCTCTTCTTCTTCTTCTTCATTGTCCCAAAGTGCTGGCATCATTCCACATGTACACCCATTGCGATCAGGGCCCTGCAGGATCTCCTTCTATTCCACAGGGCCTATAAGATGGAGCGGTTCCGCCAGGCCTTTGGCCGAGGCAGCGGGCGTCCAATGTACGGCCTCCCTGAGGTTCTTGTCACCCATTTAGCTGTTTCAGCCCTGGACCCCTACCCAGTGGAATGAGCTCCCGTATAAGTTCAGAGTAGGGCTGCCAAGTGGGGGCGGGTGGCGGGTAACCCCCCGCTTTGGAGGCCCGATTTCTGCCACCGCGGAATCGGGCCCCGGGGGGAACCCTGCCCCCCGAAGCGCAGCATGGGTGCATCACAGGAAGTGACACAACCACGTAGAGAACGTTGGGGGCGTGGCCCCAATCGTTGGAGGGAAAACTCTATGGTTTTCCCTCCAACGATTGGGGCCACGCCCCCAACGTGCTCTATGTCGTGCGTCACTTCCTGTGACGTTCTGGCGGCGCGCGCATATCGCAGCTGCTCCCGGACCGAAGGAACGCTCCCCCGCCGGTGAGTAAAAACAACTTGGCAACCCTAGTTCAGAGCCCTGAGGTAACTTTTAGCGTTCCGCAGGGCCTACAAGATGGAGCTCTTCCACCAGGCTTTTAGCTGAGGTAGTGGGTGTCCTCCCTCTATATACTGAGCCACCCCTTCAGTGGATCAAATCAGTGTAACATCTGGAACCCCAATCTATGATAGACCTCATCTGTTGAGGCTTTGATTAGATATATATCGAAATCATCACTGTATTTTATCTGAAGTATTGTAACTGTTTTTAACTGTTTGTAGATCATATTTGACGGAACCCGCCCTGTGAGGAGAGCGGGATACAAATCTAATAAAAATAAATAAATAAATAAGCCGCTTTGAGTGGGGTATAAAAACCTACTTCTCCTTCAGCCTGGCTGCTTTTTTCCCAGGCCCTTAAAGGCTCTCAGACATATGCTTCTTAGAGACACAAATCTAAAGAGATTTTAAAAATCTGATCACACATTCCGCCATCTCTCACCCCTGACCCTGAAAATGTGGATGGTCTCCTGTACTTTTTTTTTTTTTTAAAGTTCCTACTATTCTTTCTTTCGAACTTTCAGATGGTCTAGTATGTGGTGAAAATCTCTTTTATTCAAGCGTTCCTAAATCATGGTCGGAAGCGATCCAGGCCTGGTTTGATGAGAAGGCCGACTACATATATGGGACAGGACCAAAGACAGAGAACGCAGTAATTGGACATTATACTCAGGTATGAATACAGGGCTACCCTACAATAGACGCCCTTTTCTTACAGAATTTCCAGCTCAGCTACAGGAGACGCAATGATTTTTGAAATCAAAAATGGTCTTTAAAAAGCTTGCCAGAATAGCTATTCATTTAAAAAAGGGTTTTCCAAAAATATTGAGTAATTCTCTTTTTGTGTTTAGGCTCCCATTCTTTATTTTTTATTTAAAACATTTCAGAGAATCATAGAGCTGGAAGGGACCTCCATGGTCATCTACTCCAGCCCCCTGCACAATGCAGGAAATTCACAAATACCTCCCCACCACCACCGGTGGCCCCTGCTCCATGCCCAGAAGATGACAAAAACCCTCCAGGATCCCTGGCCAAAGTGGCCTGGATAAAAATTGCTTCCTGACCCCAAAGTAGCAATCGGCATTTCCCTGGGCGTGTAAGAAAGAGCCACGAGAACTAAGCACTGGCAACCCTTCCTGCCCTCCCTCTCATGATCTGCCTAAGTTCACAGAATCAGCACTGCTGTCAGATGGCCATCTAGCCTCTGTTTGAAAACCTCCAAAGAAGGAGAGCCCACCACCTCCTGGGGAAGCCTGTTCCACCGAGCAACCGCTCTGTCAGGAAGTTCTTCCTAGTGTTTAGCTGGAAACTCTTCTGATTTAATCTCAACCCGTTGGTTCTGGTCCGACCTTCTGGGGCAACAGAAAACAACTCCGCCCCATCCTCTATATGACAGTCCTTCAGGTGTTGAAGATGGTTATCGTATGACAACTAGCAGGGTCCTATACCCCCTAACCAGGGCTTCTTTTGTAAAAAAAGCCCAGTAGGAACTCATTAGCATAATAGGCCACACCCAACAGCAGAAACTCATTAGCATATTAGATCACACCCCTGACAGCACAGCTCAATAGCATATTAGGCCACACCCCCATGTTACCAGAAGTGTGGTCATCCAGCCACACCCACCTTTTGCTCCTTATTCTGTTTACCGTTTGTTGTCAAAACCCAGGGCCTTTTTTTTGTAGCAGGAACCCCTTTGCATGTTAGGCCACACACCCCTAATGTAGCCGATCCTAATGGGTTCCTGCTGTTGGGTGTGGCCAACTCGGGAGCCAGCCGAAACTCTGTTCCTGTGCGTTCCTGCCCAAAAATAGCCCTGCCCCTAACTAGATTATCAACCAAGGTAACCAGTGCAGTCTCTGTTCCAAACCCCAGCCTGAAGCCAGATTGAAATGGGTCTAGAAAACCAGACTCTTCCAAGACCCCCTGGAGCTGAGAAGGAACTGCAGACTCAAGCACTTGCCTAAGAATAAGAACATAAGATAAGCCAATGTTGGATCAGGCCAATGGCCCATCCAGTCCAACACTCTTCCACACAGTGGCCAAAAATACCAGGTGCCCTCAGGAGGTCCACCAGTGGGGACAGGACACTAGAAGCCCTTCCACTGTTGCCCCCCCCCCCCAAGCACCAAGAATACAGAGTGCCCCAGACAGAGAGTCCCTATCTATACCTTGTGGCTCATAGCCACTGATGGACCTCTGCTCCATATTGTTTATCCAATTCCCTCTTGAAGCCGTCCATGCTTGTAGCTGCCACCACCTCCTGTGGCAGTGAATTCCATGTGTTAGTCACTCTTTGGGTGAAGACTGGAAGACTGGAGACTGGCTGGAAGTTCTCCAATATAGTAGGTCTTAGGGAGGGTTTTTTTTCCCCTTTCAAACCAGGTCTAATCACTGCCTCCTTGAGCACAGGTGCCATGACCTCCACCCTCAAGGAGGCATCCTCTGACCCGCTCAGCCAACCCTCCTCTGGCAGCTTTCATTAGACAGGAAGGGCAAAGGTCAAGAACACAGGTGGTAGATCTCACCTCTCCAAGGGTCTTTCCCACAACCTCAGGCTCCCCAAGTGGAGAGGTATCGATATAAATTGGACAACCAGGTACCAAAGGAACATCATCTGGACATGTGTCCATGCCAGATTTGTAACCCAGAGTGGATCTGGGCTTTATTCATTTATTGTTCTAATTATGCCCCCACTTACAAGGCTGAGTGCAGAAGGTTATCCTGTTTCATCCTCTCAAGAACTCTGGGAAGTTGGCTGATGTGTCCATGGCTACTTGGGGAACCTCATGGCTAAGAACTTGAACAGGACAAGTTTCTGGACAACTGGATGCCCAGAGTTTTCAGTTTTTTCAAAGAGCTGTTGGTGCCCCAGTTAGATGAGGACTCTGGCACTGAGGGGTGTATAAGGGGAGTTAAACCTTCCTTCCTGCTCTGCCTCCCCAGAAGAAAATGGCACCCCTTGAGCTCCATTAAGCCCCAAGACATGCTTGGACAGGAATTCTGCAGCTGTAGTATATTTATTCCCCAAAACATCTTCACCACTAGAGGGAGACAGACCAATCTCCCTGGGGATGGCGTTCCAAAGTTTTGGTGCCACGACCGAGAAGACCCTGCCATCTAATTTCAGATGGCAGCAGTGTTCCCTCTAAGCTGAGTTACTGTGAGCTAGCTCACCATTATTCAGCCTCCAGCTTACACATTTTTGTTTTAGCTTTGTTTTAGCTCAGGAATAATGGCTCCAGAGCAAACTAATTGATGTAGTAGCCAAATTGCTCGCTCACAACTTTAACGCCAGTAGCTCACAAAGTAGAACTTTTGCTCACGAGACTCAGCAGCTTAGAGGGAACATTGGATGGAGGGGGCAACCGAAATAGGGACTCCAAAGATGGCCAGAGTGTACAGGTAGGTTCGTATGGGAGAAGTTGGAGATGACATCTTTCCCCACACAAATCCTTCTGGCCATGGAAATAGGCAACAGATTGAACTGCAGTTATGATAATGTCTCCCTGTGCTCGGAGAAGGCAAAATACAGATATGCAAAATCCAAGGCAGCATTTGCTTTCTTTGTTTCTCTCTCTCTCTTTCTCTCCTCTCTTTCTTTCCACCTATTTCATTCTTTCTTTCCACCTCTCCCTTTTTCTCTTCCTCTTAGACAAATAAATGTCATTATCCATTTCTGTTTTGACCCCTTTGGTTTTTTAATTTTGGCAGTCACATTTAGTGTTAATAAAAAGCAAATTTGCATATATACATATTTTTAATAAAAATGTGTGGGTGATATTTGTTCATGTCTCGCAGCTCTCAAACACTTGATGTTTATTGTCTGTGGCTCTTACGTTGAGCAAGTTTGGTCACCCTTGCCCTAGTCTAATCGATTTATCCTTTTCCTCACAGCTGACTTGGTACAAATCCTTCCTGATCGCTTGTGCTGTGGCTCACTGTCAGCATGACTTATACAATTATTTCTACGTCTGCCACTACTGCCCTGCGTACGTATAACAACCAAGATTATATGTTCCCCCCCATTTCCTCATCAATGCCTTTCTAAGATCCTCTTGCGTGAATCCTGCTATAGTAGAATGGCCGTCCCGAGAAACACGGTACGGTGAGAACTATCGAAAAAGATAACACACATTCATTTTTCCTGTTTTTTTAGATTAACCCAGGGCTCCTCTTGCAACAGGAACTCCTTTGCATATTAGGCGACACACCCCTCAATGTAGCCAATCTTCCAAGAGCTTACACTAGCCCCTGTAAGAAGAGCTCTGTAAGCTCTTGGAGGATTGGCTACATGAGGGGTGTGTCGCCTAATAGGCAGAGGAGTTCCTGCTACAAAAAGGGCCCTGGTAACATAATGCCTTTCTTGCCCTGTTGGGGCTCCGAAGGTGGTACACCATACAGAGAAAATAGAAGCCTGATAATGAAGCCAACTGTAGGATAAAAACAACAGTGGCCTGGATCTAATGTGAGAGCCAGTTTGGCGTAGTGGTTAAGAGCGGCAGACTCTAACCTGGAGAACTGGGGTCGATTCCCCACTCTTCCACACGAAAGGCAGCTGCGTGACCTTGGGTCAGTCACAGTTCTCTCAGAGCTGTTCTCTTACGAGCTGTTCTGTCAGAGTTCTCTCAGCCCCGCCTACCTCACAGGGTGTCTGTTGTGGGGTGGGAAAGGGAAAGGAGTTCGTAAGCCTCTCTGAGACTCCGAGGGAAGGGTGGAATATAAATCCAATCTCCTCCTCCTCCTCCGCAAGAGAAGTTAGATCAGATTGCCTTTATGGCTGTTGACATTTATGGTTCTACTAGGGGCAAGGCCCGTTGCAGGAAGAGGCAATGAGCCCTAGTGAGAGTCCTCGTAAGGGCCCGCTGCCTCCCTGGCCCTGGTGGCACCAGGTGAGGGAAGCGTGGCACAGACGCCTCCCCTCGTCCCTGAGCGCAGCCTGAGCCAGATGCAGCCCCCCCCAGCAGGGCCCACCGCCTCTGTGGGCTAGGCGGCGGGGGGTGAGGGAAGTGCGGCGCGGCCACCTCCCCCCATCCCCGAGGCCAGCCGGGACATGCCGCCAGGTTAGCGAGGGCGGCGGAGGGAAGGCTGGCGGAGGCCGAACGCCATCCCCGAAGAAGTGCCCGCAGCGTCCCCCGGCCGAGGTGGCCCCGGGAAGCACGGTGCGGCCTTCCCCCCGGTCCCTGAGGTGAAGCAGGGTGTGCCGCCAGGGCGGCGATGCTGGGGGTGGCACTGGGAACCTCGGCAGAGGCCCCCCTGCAGAAGTGCCCACTGCATCTCTGGGCACAGGGAAGCACGGCACGGCCATCCTCTTCTCTCCCCGCCAACTGGGTGCCGCTGCCGCCGCGTGGACCCGCGTCCCCAGTTCTGGAGAGGCCGGCCAGCCTCATCCCTCCCCCCCACCCACCCCAGCCAATGGGATGCCAGGAGTCCTGAGCAGCAGTTGGTGGCCCAATGGCTGAGGGATCGCATTTATTCTCGCCACCCCATAGGCTAGGGGCCACCCCAAAAGGCATTTATATAATAGGGAGAGATGCCACCTTTCCCCCTATCATGGAAAGCAATGCATGGCTGTGTTGGTTTGAGGAGCTTTCCCCTCCAAGCACTTGAGAGATCCAGACTTGCTTAGATGACGGGCAAAACTACACAATATGTTCAGCACATGTCAGTAGGGTTGCCAAGTATTACCTCGATTCGTAGCGGGGGAATCCCGGGTTGGTCCTGGAGCGCGTGCGCGTGCGCACAGTGTGCACACACCACATCCACGTCACACGGAAGTGACGCGATCACGCAGGGCACGCTGGGGGCAGGGCCATGACCATCTGAGGGAAAACCATAGAGTTTTCCCTCAGATGGTCATGGCCCCGCCCCCAGCGTGCCCCGCGTGATCGCGTCACTTTCTGGTGATGTGCACGTCGGGGTGGAGCTCCCCCCGGGGCCCAATCTGGTTGCAGCGGTGAACGGGCCTCTGGGGCGGGGGTCTTCCCGCCCCCTGGGGGGACTTAGCAAGCCTACATGTCAGGTCACGGGTGTCCGGTCGGGACTCTCAATCAGATGTACCTTGGGGGTATCAAGTAGTAATTTACATGTCCAAACAAGTCTCTGGAAGACTCATATAGGCTGTGGTCACACGGGCAAGGTAATTCCACTTTGTTCCCGCTTTAATTTAATGAGGAATATTTTCCTTCGGGTTGGGCTGATCAGATGCAGGTTAGGTGCAGCCGGCCCCTCTCTTCCGCCACCTGCTTACCTGAAAATCCTTCCCCCCTCTCCACTGCCTGACCGCTCGCCTGCCAGCCCACTCGGGCGGCCCAGGAGACAGCTTGAGACTCAGCGGCCCTTCCTGAATCTCTCCCAGCAGGGGGAAAGCCCGGCGAAGACCAACGGCCCCGAGATCCCAGCAGGGTCCACTCCACAGAAGCCCTCCCCCCGCTGAAGCCGTTGCCAAACCCAGGGGTGCACAAAACTGCTGCCGCTGCCTCGCGCTCCCTGCGCCACCACCGCCTCCTCTTCCACCTTCTCTCTCTTCCGAAGCCTGCAGCAGCAGCAGAAGCAGCCGCCGCTGTTGTCACCCAGAGCGCCTTGCAGAGGACTTTGCTCATCCACCCGGCCCATGCGCCTGAATGTTTAAATGGTGAATTGCCCATGCGCTCAAAGGCAGAAGCCTGAAAAAAAACCCAAAACTCATTGTGGGGAAAAACGGTCAGACAGCCCTAATCGCAACCATTGCAATAGATGGCTGTCCAGATAGGCGAGATCGTGCGTTCAAAGTGCGAGTACAAGAAAAACACTTGATTTCCCAAGGGGCAGGAAAAACCGTGAACTGGCTTTGCCACGGGAGGCAAATCGGCCTATCTAGTCAGCAAATTTAAATGCGGTAGGGAACAGTGGCGAAACCCGATCAAACAGACCGTGTGACCGCAGCCTTAGACACGTAAACTGATAACTGTGGGGAACACCAGGTGTAATCCAGCCCTACTTTAGCAGAGCAAAAAGTTCTTTAGAATAGGTAATTGAATTTGTAAAGCCCTGGAGATTGGAGATTGGATTAAAAAATTACTTTTTATGGTAGAAATGGACAAGATGACAAGAAAACTCAACAATATGGAAGCAGAAGACTTTTTAGCAGATTGGATTGGAAAGATTTAAAAAGACTATTTAGGGAAGAATTGGGATGTAAGAGACAACTTATTTTGCTTTAATAATTATTGAGTGTTGAAGTTTAACACTATGGAATAAGAAATCGAGAAATTTATATACGAAGAGATTAGTTACCTATTGAACTTATAATGATAAAGGGAAGGAAGAAGGAATTTAAGAATTTCGCAGGAGGTTGTAGCACTGGGGGAAGCCAGGCGGGGGGGGGGGAAGGGAGGAGGGTAGGATAAAAATGTATTATAAATGTTGATTCTGAGTGATGATATCCTAAATAAAAATAGTTTTTTAAAAAAAGAATAGGTAATTGAATTTGAAAGTGTATCAGCCCTGACCTGGATAGACCAGGCTACCCTGATCACGTCAGCCTCTCAGAAGCTAAGCAGGGTCGGTCCCGGTTTGTATTTGGGTGGGAGACCACCGAGGAAGTCCAGGGTCACGACGCAGAGGCAGGCGACGGCAAACCCACCTTGGAGCATCTCTTGCCTTGAAAACCTTACAAGGTCAATGCAAGTCAGCGGCAACTTGGTGGCACTTTCCACCACCGACTGAACCCAGAGCATCAGTCTCTAAGTTTTTTTTAAAAAAATCCAGTCCTTTGCGTGACATTTGGCAGGACCTTTGAAGCGGGAATGAAGCATGATAACCGGGGATGCCTTTTTCACGTTTCAGGGGAAACGTCCTGGGAGAAAATTTTTATAAGCCTTACAAAGAAGGAGAACCGTGTGGCGCCTGTCCCGATGCCTGCAATGAAGGACTCTGCAGTAAGTATGGAGCAGACGGCGCTTCTTTATGGGCGCTCATCGGGGCTCTTTTTGTAGAAAGAGCCCAGCAGGAACTCATTAGCATAACAGGCCACACCCAACAGCAGAAACTCATTAGCATATTAGGCCACACCCCTGACAGCACAGCTCATTAGCACAGTAGGCCACACCCACACGTTAGCAGAAGTGTGGTCATCCAGCCACACCCACCTTTTGCTTCTTATTCTGTTTACCTTGCTTGTTGTCAAAACCCAGGGCCTTCTTTTGTAGCAGGAACTCCTTTGCATGTTAGGCCACACACCCCTAATGTAGCCAATCCTAATGAGTTTCTGCTGTTGGGTGTGGCCTGTTATGCTAATGCGTTCCTGCTGGGTGTGGCCAACTTGGGAGCCAGCCGGAACTCCGTTCCTGTGCGTTCCTGCCCAAAAATAGCCCTGGGCCACTCATCCCATAGGCCGTATTCAAGTCGTTCTGGTTAAATGGCCCGATCTTGGATGACAAATGGTCAGAAGGCGCAATCAGATGTGTTATTCGGAAATGCACCGCAGAGACACCTGGCTATACGGTAGGGATGCCAGCCTCTAGGTGGGACTTGGGGATCCCCCGATATTACCGCTCATCTCCAGACTACAGAGATCAGTTCCCCTGGAGAGAATGGCCACTTTGGAGGGTGGGCGCTTTGGTACTGTACCCCACTGTGGTTCCTGTCCTCCCAGGCTCCACCCCCAAATCTCCTGGAGTTTCCCAAACTGGATCTGGCAACTCTACTACATAGAAAGGGATGGCTATAAAGTGGTCCCAGTTCCTTACCCATGAAATGTGAACGGCAGTTTTCAAGCACATGCTTGGTTGTCGCGGGGATGGAACAGATGAGTAAAGGTAAAGGTTTCCTTTGCTTGAAAGCCGGTCGAATCCGACTCTAGGGATGCAGTACTCATCTCCGAAGAGCCAGCGCTGTCCAAAGACTTCTCCGTGGTCATAATGTGGCCTTTACCTATCAGCTAGATTGCATTACTGGCTTCTTGCTCCTTACACTGTCAAGGACATGTAATTGTGAACTGATCTCTCGAGAAATGATTGCAAGATTAGCTGGATTCATGGGCAGACAGGGAAGGTGCACAAGAGACACAAATAGTAAGTCTCAATTCCAAAATCACAAACTTTGGTCCCCCTCCCCCCTTTAAGTATGTGCCTTTTAAAATTGGAGGTGGTGGCAGATGAATGGGGTGGGGTGGGCAGCTGCTGTGAAATATTACTGCAGTTGTGCAAACAGCAGAGTAATCATGCAAACAGACACATTCATCTGGACACATCTAAACTGCTTGCTGAACAATTGGTTCCCTGTTTACCACTGGTGAGCTGGACATGAACTGAATTGGTGGCGGTTTCGCAAAGATGCCTCGACCCAGCCCGACGAACTAATGGGCCAGTATGCATGGCTGCTGCGTCACCCCTCCTACATTCACCCACAAAGCACAAATATGCCAAGAGAGAAACTGCTAGCAAGACGTGCAGCATATTTCTAACATCCCGTACTGAACTCTGTGGTTAGTTACCGACAACCATTTTACTTTACAGCAAATCCTGATGCATACAGAAGAACTTCTTAGTGAATGAGATCACTTTAAGGTAGTCTGGATATCTACAGGGGCTTGTAGTAGCTTTTGCTCCACCTCTTTTGGCAGCAACTTATAAGGCAAGAATGAGATCACTAAACGTTGATGATGCAGAGGTTTCCCCCCCACACACACCTGTTTCATCTCTTTTGCACCTCTCTTTCTGTGTCTATCACCAGTTTGCTCACACAGCGCAACAAAACCTGGAAACATTCACAGAGCACTGAGGTTTGTTTTTTTTGCTAGTTGGTCATCATTGTTGAGATGGAAGAGGGTGTGATGGGTGAATTTGTTTCTCAGGGAAGGGGCCAAGCCTCTCCAAGGCAAGCTACTAGCCTCTCTCGCTCCACCCCATGCCAACTTTCTATATATTCAGTGGCACAGAGTCACCTTGAAGCCTTTGAAAAGGAAAGGAAGAACAAAAACGACTACTCCAGAGGCCTATCCCCTAGTTCAGTGGTGGCAAACCTATGGCACGGGGGCCAGAGGTGGCACTCAGAGCCCTCTCTGTGGGCAGGCGTGCCATCACCCCAGCCAGGCCCAGACCATCATTAAAGTGTTGAATTCTCTGCCAAATAATTTTAAGTAAATGAAAGCATTTGGGATGGCTTTCCTTACTTTGTTTGGATCATCTTAGGTTAATGTTATGAGTTGTTTTTTCTAAAGTAAAACCTCAGTATTCAGGTTAAATGGCCGTGTTGGCACTTTGCCATAAATAAGTGGGTTTTGGGTCGCAGTTTGGGCACTCGGTCTCTAAAAGGTTCGCCATCACCCTAGTTTGTGCAGGTAGGCCGAGTTCTCGTCTCGTGTTGACCGACACCCCCAAAGCCCGGAGATTTCATTCTGTTTCTCCCATTTGGTATGCTACCTTGGGATGTCCCTCATCACCTCTCTAGAACATGCTCAGGTGGAGGGCTTCCTTTTGGTTTCCAAGAACTGCCTTGCTGGATTAGGTCCAAGGCCCGTATTGTCCAGAATCCTGTGTCATATAACGTCCAGTCTAGGCTTCTCACACACAGGGCATGATGGGAATATCTCTCGCTGGTTGCTGCTCCCAGGTCTACAGAGGTATGATTGTGTGAGGCCGCTTTCCACTCACAGAGTGCCCGCCACCCTCTAAAACCTCTCACATAGATTTCAGGTTGCATGGAGGTCAGGCCATGACTCTTTCCACCCTTCTCATCTCTTTCAAAATCTCTAGAGAGCCATGATCATTTCACTTCTCAGGTCCCCTCTGTCTCACAGAGACGTCAGCGGACAAGGTAACCCAGCCCCCCCCCCCAATAATAGGGCATCACTCAAACACTTCACATTGTTATTGGAGCTGAGGATTCACTGTTTAATTCCCATGCTGCTACCACTTATTCATATCCTATAACATCTATCTATCCATCATCTATCTATCTATCTATCTATCTATCTATCTATCTATCTATCTATCTATCTATCTATCTATCTATCTTCATCTTCATCATCTATCTTATCTATCTATCTATCTTCATCATCATCATCATCATCATCATCATCACCATCATCATCATCATTATCAATTATCGTATGGCATTGTGTGTAGTATAGCCAGGAGATCCTAAATTTGTCTGGCAGTCAGAAGTTCTAGCTCTTTAGTGTTATGCACCACTAGGTGGAGAGCTACATTTGTTTTTTAGGCAAGAGACATTTCATGGCCCCAGTATTCCTTGAAGGTTGCCCTTCCAATTCATAGCCATGGCTGACACTGCTAAGCTTCCAAGATCTGATGAGATCAGGCTAGCCTGGGCTATCCAGGTCAGGGCATATAAACTGATAGTAACTTGTATGTGTCTATTTCCTTGAGACACAAAGCCCACAGGGTTAAATAAACAAGGAGTTACCTTTTGTTTATGGTTTGAACTTAAGAAAGTCAGGTAGAGGTTACAACGGTTCATATCCAACTGAACTTTTGAACTGTTTCCCTGTTCCTGCAACTGGGATCCTTTGTTACAAATTGACTCTTTTCAGCCAGCTCTAAGCACCTCTTTTCCACAGTTTCACTCAGCCAGACACACTCTTTTCCCTCTCAACTCCCTCACTGCCAACTCCCAACTGCTCTTTTCCAACTGCTGTTTTCCAACTCCCTCCAAAACATTCCGTCAACTCTCAGTGGTCACTCTTAGGGAGACGCAGAACCTACCCGGCATGTCACAGATTAAATTCAGGCCAGTCGAGAATAGCTTTTGCTAATCACCTGCTAATCCCTTTCCTTTCAGCCAATCCTTGCAAACAGGAAGATGAATTCTCCAATTGTGTACAGTTAAAGGAAATCCATACATGTGAGCACCCGTTCATTAAGGAAAACTGTCCTGGATGCTGTCAATGCACTACAGAAATACAATAATTTCCTTTCAAAAAAAGTTTCTTGACTTCAGTAGAAGAGGAAGAGCCCAGCTTTTTTAAAAAAGGACAAAAATACAATTTGCATATTTATCAAATAAATGTAATGCTAGCTGCAAATTAAAAATTGAGACTAAGCATTCTAAGCTGTTATCTTTTCTCTCCTTTCTTCGTAGCTACTAACAATGGGTGTTTATTACTAGGGATGGGCATAAGCCGAACCATGATGCAAAATTCATGATAAATTTTGCCCTGTTCGAGATTCACGAACCAAAGTTTGTGAGGGGTCTACTGTCACAGACTTCCACGACCTTTTAAAGCAGTTTATGGTGGTTTATGGATAGAGCAGAAAGCAGGGGTTTAAAGAGACCCCTAGTCCCTTTAACCTCCTGCTTTCTGCTACCCCCCAAAACTGTAAAAACAGCTGAGCAACGGGTGCAAGCACTCAGTTGATTTTCAGGCTTTCTGCAAATCCCATTTAAAGGAACTGTGGTTTGAAGGGCCATGAATGGGGTTTGCAGGGCCAGGAACCACAAACCGGTTTAGTTTATGAATGAACCTCCTGACTTGGTTTGTGGTTCATCTAGGAACCACAAACTGTCATGAACTGTATTTTTCCAGTTTGTACCCATCCCTATATTTAGTTCCACTGGAAGACCTGAAAGTTCTCATCAGATCTCACAAGCTAAGCAGGGTTGGCGCTGTGTAGTGACCCTCGTACTCCTTGCTGATCCCCCATCCAAATACTAGCCAAGGCCAATCCTGTTTAGCTTCTGAGATCTGATGAGATTGGTTTAGCTTTGTGCTATCCAGGTCAGGGGTAATAACTGTGTGCTATCAAGTCGCAACCGATTCATGGAAACCCCTCAGGCATTTTTCGAGGCAAGAGAGGAGCAAAGATGATTTGTCATTACTTGCCTCTGCACAGCAACCCTTGACTTCCTTGGTGATCTCCCATTCAAATACTAACCAGGGGTTAGCTAGTGAGATCTGATGAGATTGGGTTAGCCAGTGCTAGCCAGTAGGGATGGGTATGAACTGAGTCACAAGCCAAAATTCGGCATGGACTTGGCCTGGTTCAGAGTCCCCATACTGAGCTTTTTGAGCTTTTGCCCAGTTTGGTTTGGCTGTTCGGGCCATTTAAACCTAACACTGGACGGGCACACCCACCCATTGTTAGGTTTAAATGGCTGCCAGCCATATCAGTGGTCTGTTTTACTCCCCCCACTTCTAAGCGGGGGGAAGTGAAATGGATCAGTGAAATGGCTGCTACCCATTTAAACCTAAACAAGGGAAAAAATGCATGTGCCCAAATTTAACATCAATGATCAATAAATTTGTAATGTATCCAGTCCAGACAAGTCCAGACAAGTCCAGACAAATACAGAGACAAACATCGAGCTTCGCTCCAAGAGACAATGGACTATGCAGATCCTAGCCCATTCCAATCAGGGGGCTAGGTTCCTGGCCAAGAGCCTATGGGACTCTCGGCCACTGTAAATAACCTATAGGGAAGTAGGGGTGTGTTTTGGGTGGTGGTTTCTCGGGGGATATAAGTTGGCCTGCGAGCCGGCCAAAGTTGTCTTGTTCCGGATAGAATAAAGTACGCTTTGCTGAAATCACTCTCCGTTTGTGTACTTTTCAGAATTTAATTAGACATATAAAGTAGAATAAATTTTACAAAAACAAGTAGTAGAACAAATTTTTCAAAAATAGGTAGAAATTGACTGGTGAAGTTGAATACAAGTAGAAATTCATAGGTGGAGTTTTGCCACATAACTTATGTGAATTCAAGAAACTTATGTGAATTCAAGAATCATTATGGTGAAATACTTATTTGAAGGGAGGTTCCAGGAAATGGTAGATTCTGCATTTGGAATCACTGAAGATTGCTGCATTCGAATATGCTTTATGGATGTCTATATCCAGCATGATTCTTGAAAAAAATTACTGAAATGGATTTAGAACCGGGGGTCCATCGAATCAGATGACAAAACACTACTGCATCCTTACAGATTAAGGACTTTCTTGAATTCACATAAGTTGTGTGGCAAAACTCCACCTGTGAATTTCTACTTGTATTCAACTTCACCAGTCAATTTCTACCTGTTTCTGGGAAATTTGTTCTACTTCTACCAGTTTTTGGAAAAAAATTGTTCTACTTTATATGTCTAATTAAATTTATTGATCATTGATGTTAAATTTGGGCACATGCATTCCCCCCCTTGTTTAGGTTTAAATGACGGGCAACCATTAAACCTGTCCGCTTCACTCCCCCCACTTCATAGTTTAGCCCTTCCTGGGTGAAGCCCCACCCTTTCTCCAAGTTGCAGCTTACCACAGCCGGGAGAAAGGGGGACCCAAACTGGTTTGTTTGGGACGTTTTTTGTTCAGTTCAGAGTTCAGTTTGGCATTGTCACAAACCCCAAACTGTACTGGAATGTTTTGGTTCAGGCCCATCCCTACTATCCAGGTCAGGGGTAATAATTGCGTGCCGTCAAGTCACGACCGGCTCATGGAGACCCCCACAGGGTTTTGAAGGCAAGAGAGGAACAAAGGTGGCTTGCCATTGCCTGCCTCTGCACAGCAACCCTGGACTCCCTCGGTGGTCTCCCATCCAAGTGCTAACCAGGGCCAGCTCCCGGAAGACATCCGGGACCGGCAGGACCTTTTACAGTTCCCCAGGGCTTGTAAAACGGAGCTCTTGCACCAGGCTTTCAACTAGGAGCCGCGCCCATCCATCCGAGGCCTTGGCCCCAATACTATCAACAACAATAACATCATCAACAACAATATCACTAACATCGATATTGTATTGATTGAATAGCCTGCGCGCTGCTATGTATACCCAGACTGTGTGCTTAACTGACTGTCGGAGTCTCGCCATTTTACCTTGTCACTGCTAGCACCTTATGTACTGTTTTTAGACTTAACCTATTGTAATTTTACTCAAGCAATTGTTTTATTTACTGCAATTTGTTGTGAGCCGCTCTGAGCCTGCTGCGGCAGGGAGAGCGGGATGAAAGTTAAATAAATAAATAAATAAAATCTAACAAGATGGAGTTAGCCTAGGCCATCCAGGTCTGGGTTCATCAATAGGTCAGTATTTGTTTTTCCTTCTTTTTGCTACTGCACTTTTCGTAGGTTGTTTTGAGGGAAGGCCTGTCCCCTTCTGCTTTAGACTGTTCACCAAGAAAGACAGTTCTCTTGTTGGTTTCTGTTGGGAAGGGAAGGGAAAGGAGTTTGTAAGCCGCTCTGAGACTCCGAGTGAAGGGCGGGGTATAAATCCAATCTCCTCCTCCTCCTCCTCCTCCTCCTCCTCCTCCTCCTTTTTATTTATTTATTTTTTTAAATTTAACTTTCGGCTTACATACCGCTCAAACCCCGAAGGGTCTTTGAGTGGTTTACATATGATTTATAGTACCTATGTAGGGCCACATTAACAGGGGAAGTGACTACCTACCAGCACCCAGGCAGCAGGGCAGACTCTTAGAGGGTTTTTTTTTTTGTTATTTTGGTTCTTATTCCAGCAGGCTTCGGGTGTGGATGTTATTCCGGCGTTCTCCCTCCTGGCGCTTTTTTTGGAGCTGGTCTTAGTTCAGCGGCTTCCTCCGGCGGCCTACCTCTAGCCTCGGCTTTGTCCTCCTCTTCCTCCTCCTCCTTCTCTTCTTCTTCTTCCAGCAAAGAAATCACATGATGGTCCCTCTGCCAAGAGCCGACCATAGGCTGCTGTGTTCCTCTAGTTCCCAAAGACCTGTTCCGAGACACAGAGGAATCCATATATACACTGAAGAAGAAGAAGCTGAAGAAGAGAAGAGATTGGATTTATACCCCGCCCTTCACTTGGAGTTAACTGACATCTCCAGGGAATCCCTAGGAATGATAATTTTGCAAGGGTGCAAAGTCTTGTTCAGCAAGAATCATCGGAGAACTTCAGTTCCCACATTTCCTTGACCGTCCGGGGAAAGCCATGACAACTAAGCCCGTCTACATCCAGTTTAAACATACAGTATGGACATGCCGTGTTTCGCTTGAGAAAACTGCAGCTGGCTTCTCAAGTCCTGCTTCCTCCAGAAGATCTAGAAGAGGTTGCCCTCTATAACGGTTTAAAAAACAGGCATTCCTCTTGAGGCTGGGGAGGGGCTTTGCATGCAGAAGGTCCCAGATTCAACCCCCCAGTTAAAAAGATCAGGTAGTTGGTGAGGTGAAGGACCTCTACCTAAGATGCTGGACTTCTGCCTGAAACTCTGGAGAGCTGCTGCCAGTCTGAGTAGACAATATCAACCTTGATGGACCAAAGGTCTGATTCAGTATAAGGAAACTTCATGAGAAGAAGAAGACGATGACGAAGAAGAAGAAGAAGAGGTTGGAGAATACTCTGGAGAAGTGGGCAGATGCGAAAAATACTCTGTAGGAGTGGGCAGTTGTGAACAGGATGCAATTCAACAAAGATAAATGCACAGTATTACATCTGGGCCACAAAAATGTCAATACTGGATGGGGGATACGTTCCTGGGGAGTGGTGTATGCGAAAGAGATCTTGGGGTAAGGGTGGACTGTAGAGTGAATATGAGCAGTCAGTGTGACGCAGAGGCAAAAAAGGCACATTCGGTCTTGGGTTGTATTAAAAGGGCCATAGCATTGAAATCGCAGGAGGTCATAGCCCCTCTGTATACTGCCTTGGTCAGGCCGCACCTTGAGTACTGTGGGCAGTTCTGAAGGCCTCACTTCAAAAAGGATGTGGGCAAAATCGAGAGGGTGCAGAAGAGAGCGACAAGAATGATCAGGGGTCTGGAGACTGAGCCCTAGGAGGAAAGGCTGAGAGCCCTGGGAATGTTTCGTTTGGAGAAGAGGAGATTGAGGGGGGGGACATGATTGCTCTCTTTAAATATTTTGAAAGGCTGTCATGTGGGAAAGGGCAGGGAGCTGTTCCAGTTGGCAGCAGAGAAGAGGACCCGAAGCAACGGGTTTAAATTACATGCAGAAAGGTATTGGCTGGATATT